AAAAAAAAAAAAAGAGGTTATATCCCAAGAGGATTTTAGCCCTAATACTCTACGGCTCTAAATCTTCAGGTGACAGTTTTGCCATGTTGCTCTATGTTATATATATAACAAGCAGTACTCAAAATAGTCCTCCAGCCTTATTCTCTAGCCAAATTAGAATGCTGCTTACTACAATGCCATCAGCCCTCATAGTGCAGGGAAATAGCAGGTGATAGGTAAGTCAGATTGAATGCAAAGATCCTTACTGATACCAGTAGTAAGCAACGCCATTAATCTAAAAGAACCTTTTTCATGTTGTTGTTAGGTGCTTTTGAAAAGGTATTGACCCATAGCAATCCTGGGGTGGGTTTTCTTGCTGTAATCTTTGAGAAGCAGATTGCCTGGTTTTTCTCCTGCAGGGGTGTTGAGTGGGTTCAAATAGCTGAGCACTTCACTGGCTGTGCCACCAGGCTCCTTCAAAAAGAGACACCACACACACACAGATCCATATACACACTGCCATCAAGTCGATTCCAATGCTAGTATCTAATAAGTTAAGCCATTTACCTTGGACAAATAAAACTAACTGAAGAAAGCAAAGATAGAGCTTACCCACATTCATAAGGCATTTTACAAACACATCTTGCATTCTGCAGTTTCTCCCAGCGCTGACATTCAGGCTCTGCCTGTTTCAAAGGGGTTTCTAAAGAAAAGGATAAGTGTAATGGTTAGGAATGTAAGAGCTGCTCCACTGTAAATATAGTATCAGTTCAATTGGTGAACCAAATTTAGTAATGCTCTACACAGCAACTAATTTCTACAGTAAACAAATAAAACATTTAATAAGAGATAAGAGCGTTGCTAGAAGCACCCTTCAAATTTCACTGTTGTTGTTGTTGTTGCTGTTGTTAGGTGCCATCAAGTTGGTACTGACCAATAGCAATGTTATGCACAGCAGAATGAAACTGCCCAGTCCTGGGCCAATCTCACTACTGTTGCCACACTTGAGTCCATCAATGCTGCCACTTGGCCAATCTATTTAGTTGGGGGTCTTCCTCTTCTTCTTTGACCCTCCACATTACCAAACATGATATCCTTCTCCAGTGACAGGTCCCTCCTCACAATATGTCTGAAGTTTGAGAGACAAAGTTTGGCCATCTTGGCCTCCGAGGAGCACTCTGGTTGCAATTCTTCCAAAACAGCTCTATTGGTTATTTTGGCAGCCCATGGCACTTTCAATATTCTCCTCCAACACCATAACTCAAAAGCATCAATTCTTTCATGGTCTTCCTTATTCACTCTCCAGCTTTCACATGCATATGAGGTTACTGAAAATACCATAGCTTGGGTCAGGTGCAGCTTAGTCCTCAAGCTGACATCTTTGCTCTTCAACACTTTAAAAAGGTCTTGTGCAGCATGTTTTCCTTAATGCAATACATAATTTGATTTCTTGACTGCTGCTTCCA